AATTGCGATGAGAATTTTATCTTTCACATAAATATTTAATAGAAAGACGCATAGATGAAGAGAAAGCTTTAGATGAAAAGAAAAAAAAAGCAGCTAAAGAGCGTCATTTATATTTGACTATTAAGGTAATTATTTGGCAATACTATGAGGATTAATAATAAATTTTGTTTGTTCATAGCAGTTTAATCTTTATCTCAACCCATTATCAGCTCGTGACTTTAACTACCTTTGAGCACTACCAAGGGTTTGATCTTGCTAATTTTGACAATCAACAATACCCGCAATCTGACGTTCTACTAATTAAAGTTTTAAAAAGTTTTAAATTTCGTGCTTTTAAAACCATTGTCGCTCACAAATTTGGAATTTCACCTGAGAAAATGAGAGTCTGGGATCTTATAAATCGTCAAAATAGGACTATTAGACCAGATACTCCAATACCAAATGATTTTCTTGATATGAGTAAGTCATGTGTAAAATGCCGCTCTTTTCATTTCGTAATAAATCTTTTATTAATTTGTGATTAATAGCGATGGAAGAAATCCACAAAAAAGTATCTCCAAGACAAAATGAACTGAAATTATTTTTGGAAATGGTAGATAAACCATTAAGCACAGTTATTCTCTCTCCAAAAGAGAGGAATTCTTATCTATTAGTTTTCATCAAATATTTTAATCCAGATACACAATCTCTAGAGTATGTGATTTAAACTTTATTTTATTAATTCATTTGATATGAGAATTAATCTTTTATTCCTATGTAAACAGAGGAATGTGCTATTTATATGTTCGAAAGCATAGTAAAGTTGGTGATATCATTCCAATTCTTTGTGAGAAAAAGAACTTTCCATCGCACACGAAGTTGAAAATATACGAAGTACAGTGTAATTTATATGTATAATTTTCTTTGGTTGATCATAAATAATCTATTTATGTTATTAAAATATAGGAAATAAGACCAAGAATGATTGCAAAGATTGTACCTAGTTTAACTTTTCAGCAATCCGAGATACAAAATGGTGATATAATTTGCTTCCAAAAAGCTTTAACAAAAGAAGAGTAAGTCATTTATTAATCTGACCTTGTCTTGTGTTTCAATTCATTTGTTTTATAAAAAAAAACTTTCTCCTTTGATTTAGAATACAAATACATACATCTACAGGTCGAATTTGTGATATTCCTACATTCTATGAGTCATTATTGATGCGTGTTGTTGTGAAATTTAAGCCAAAATGTAAAGACCATGAACTAAAACCTGAATTTGAATTAATTTTAAATGAAAAATATACATACGAAGAAGTACGTTAAAATTTCTCCCATTATTATGAATTGCAAAGTATTATAGAAAAGTTTCAAATAGAAATTCATAAAAATTCATAAAAATATCATACTCATCATCATGTCTCACATAATTTCAATCTAATAACTTATTTTCATTTCTTTATACATTTATAGGTTGCTAAACGCGTTTCCGCTTTTTTAAACACGGATCCTTTGAAATTACAGTTTGCAACGGCACATCCAATGTCAGGTACATACAAAACTGTAATTAAAAGGACGACCAAGCGAACACTATCAGAGATGCTCCAAACAACATATCTGCCTAATTCAACGAGATTATTGTATTATGAAATGCTTGACATTAGTATTATTGAATTAGAAACTAAAAAGTTCTTGAAAGTATATTGGCTCGGGACAACTGTTAAGGAAGAGGTAAAGGAAAAATTGTTTAAATATTTATATTTATATATTCATTATTCAATTAATTAATTATGATTTTCTTTCTTAAAGCAAGCGATTGATATTTGTCTTCCAAAGACTGCTATAATTTATGAAGTTCTTCAAGTAATTGGACAAAAACTAGCAATACCAAAACCTACTCATAGAATTAGATTATATGATGCCTTAAATTGCAAAATTCAGAATGAATATAACATTAATGATCCAATAGATAAAATACAGGAACAGGTGACGTTATATGCGGAGGTTTGTTCTCTTATTTTCCTATGACATTTTAATATTTATTATATTATCTCTATTTTTTTTTTTTTGAGAAATAATTTATTTTATATTTAGGAAATACCAAAAGATGAGATTGAATTAGGAGCTAATGATAAAATTATTCAAGCATTTCATTTTACTAAGGAGCCGTTACGCGCGCATGGAATTCCATTTAAATTTGTTCTTAAAGCTGTTAGTATATTTAAATGTTATTTCAATGTTAACTTGTATTTATGCTTGTTAAGATTTTTATGTTTTATATAATTTATAGGGTGAACCCTTCTCTATGACAAAATTGCGCCTTCAATTACGCTTAGGAATGTTCGTAAAAGATTTCTTAAAAGTGAAAGTTGCAATTATACAAGTAGCATCATATGCCAAGCCTCAGTATATAGAGGATAATAGTATGTATACTCATTTTTCGATTTTTATTCTTGAAATTTTTTTAAAATACTAATAATTGACATTACACGCGTTCTTTAGATGTTATTCTATCAAATTATGGATTAACAGATAAGCTCTTAGGTCTTGATCATGTGGATAAAACGGGACGTGCGGGAAGAGCAGGTGAAAAAGCGATATATATTAGAGGATAATATATTTTTCAATCGACTTTCTCTAAATACATAGCTTTTAAATTCAACTTAAACTTTAAGGCTCGTTTGGTTTCTATAATTATCAATAAAAATTTTATTCTTTTGAAATGCAATTTTTTAACTGTCCTAGTATCACCCAATGATCAGTTATGCATGTGAATCTAAAATCGATTCCGATATATTATTACAAACTAATATATCGGAGTCAATTTTAGATTCACATACGTAACTAGTCTTTGGGGTGATACTAGAATGGTTTTTATGTTAGGCAAGAGCAAATTACAATGTTCCACGATATTTCACGTTGCTTATGTTGAAACAAAAAATTGTACGCATGTACGTACATAATTAAATTTGCATTACACATAATATACTGATACGTCTCTGGTTGGGCTAAACAAAAGTGCTAGGCATACAAGTGTAATTATTTATATTAAAAGTTCTAAAATTCGAGGTCAGTCATTAATGGCGTGATCTGTATTATAATCATATAATCATTCTGCTAGAAAATTAATATTCGATATGGAAAGTTGGAAAAGTCTCGAAGATATGCCTTAAAAATAAAAAGCATAAATAACCTTATTTTCGTAAAATAAAAATGCAAAACATTTTTTACGTTATTCCTTTTAACGAATCTGATTCAAACTTTTAATTAGCTCGATTTTTAACTTATTCTATGGCTCGTGTCTCTTTATTATTTAATTTATTATAAAAAGATTTTTTGGAAATAGAGTTTTTATACATAAACTATTAAATTGCATCCTAGATAATTAGGTCACTAAAATAAAGTTCAACATGGAGTATAACAAATGCGTAAACTGCAATAAAGATCGAATGCTTACCCGAAATAAGCTATGTATTAGATGCAAACCTAAATGCACCAGCTGTAAGAAGAAAAAAATACTTAAATATGAGAATAAACTATGTGCCGATTGTTATATACAATTACAATTACAGTGTGTTAGTGGAAATCAAGATATTGATAACTTAATTAATGCAACGTATGTTAATCAGCTTAAATTTAGATTAGAGTGGATCCCATTTGAGAATTTTACGGATATAAAACAAATCGGAAATGGTGGTTTTAGTGAAATCCATACAGCCACATGGACAAAAGGAAAAATAACAGCTTGGAGTGAGCTAAAAAAAAAATTCAATAGAAAACAAACGGTTGTTGTATTAAAAGTTCTTAAGGATTCCAAAAACATTCATTCGACATTCTTAAAAGAGGTAATAATATAAACTTTATCTTAACTATTAATATATTATTCTAAAAATTTGGTTTGTTTTGTTGCAGTTACAAAATATTGTTAAAAGCCAGCCTAATTCCACAATACGCCGCATTGTCCAGTGTTATGGAGTGTCACAAGATCCAAAAACAAAAAATTATATTTTTGTAATGGCTTATATGCCTAATGGGAGTTTAAATAATTATTTATCTAATAATTTTAAGAATATTACTTGGAAAATGAAGCTCGACTTTCTTAAGGATATTGTTGCAGGCATTAAGTGGATTCATGAAAATAAAATTATCCACCGCGATATACATGATGGAAATATATTAATAGGAAATTTGAAAAACAATGGTTCTGATTCTAACTCTTTAATTGCTGATTTAGGGTTTAGTCGACCTGCAAATGACAATTTGGAAAGTTCTGAACTAAAAATATACGGAATTATGCCATATATTGCTCCTGAAGTGCTTAACAAAAAGCAATATTCATTTAGATCAGATATTTACAGTTTAGGAATGATTATGTGGGAACTTACAAGTGGATCTCGCCCTTTTTATGATAAGGGATATGACGTACATCTTATGCTTGATATATGTAATGAAAGACTTCCGTTACGACCAAATGTCACAGAAGACACTCCACGATGTTGGTCAATTTTGATGCAAAAATGTTGGCAATCAGATCCCTTAAAAAGACCAACAATTAATGAAATTTTTGATGAAGTAAATTCTAAATATTGGAATGAAAATAGTTGTTATATGCAAGCAGCTGAAATAAAACGACAAGAATTAATTAATACTGGGAAATTCGTTGCTAAATATATGCATCCTCATTCTAAAACTCATAGCAAATTATTAAATCCTACTATAGATTCTATGTTTCAATATTCTAGATCTTTTCAAAACATTAGCAGTGATTTATTTAATATTATGTAAGTGTATAAGTTAATTATCCTTACAAATTTCGTATTGAGAATTTAAAAGTAATAAATTAATTATTTTCTAATTTAAATGGGTACACAGTCCTCAGCACTTCAAAAATTATAACAGTCCAAATTCAACGATAAACCCATCAATTTCAAAAAAACACACCATCAAAGTTTTACAAAATGAAAATGATTATAGTGAGTTTAATGTTAATCGTTTTATTATAACTAAAGCCCTTTAAACCAAACACTAACCTACTGATGGGATCCTAACCCTAAACTAGATAAAATAAAACGAAGAAAATTATTTAATAATGGTATGCTTCTTTTTTAAAAAATTAAACTTAATATCTACAATAATTGAATTAATATTAACGTATTATTCAACATCCCCAACCTACATCTTCGCTTGAATTCATACTATTAAGAAATGTTAGATTCAAAGCCATATATCATATCAATAAACGGTGCCATTCATCAGATTACTAATTTGAGCAATTTAAATTTAAACCATGATAAACTATGTTATGAAGCAGGAAAAGCTCTATGTACAAACCCTATTTTAAAAGACTTGGATTGGACACTATGCGACGGAACATGGCAAGGAATAGTTGAGGTACTAGGCAATAACAAAACATTAACCAATTTAAATATAGAAAACAAGACGCTGAGTGATGATGCAGCAATAGCATTAGCCAAGAATCTGTATAAGAACACTACGCTTATATATTTAAATTTAAGACATAGTCAATTTGACAGTGAAGCCATAAAAATACTAGCTGGAGCTTTATGTGAAAATACCACCTTAACTAACTTATATTTAAGTCGTAATAAACTTGGTAAATCAGGAGAAAAAGTATTAGCTGAAGCTTTATGTAAAAATACCACCCTAACTAATTTAGATTTAAGTTCGAATAATCTTGGTGAATCAGGAGGAAAAGCACTGGCTGAAGCTTTATGTAATAATAACACCTTAACTAACTTAGATTTAAGTTTGAATAATATTAGAGAATCAGGGGTAAAAGCATTGGCCGAAGCTTTATGCAAAAATACCACCTTAACTAATTTAAATTTAAGTTGGAATATACTTGGTGAATCAGGAGTAAAAGCAATTGCTGAAGCTTTATGTAAAAATACCACCTTAACTAATTTAGATTTATCCGCAAATTGGATAAGTGAATCAGGAGTAAAAGCATTTGCTGAAGCTTTATGCAAAAATATCACCTTAACTAATTTAAATTTAAGTTCGACTTGTCTTGGTGAACCAGAAGGAAAAGTATTGGCTGAAGCTTTACGCAAAAATACCACCTTAAATAATTTAAACTTAAGTTATAATAAACTTGGTGAATCGGGAGGAAAAGCACTGGCTGAAGCTTTATGCAAAAATACCACCTTAACTAATTTAAATTTATATCGTAATAGTATAGGTAGATCAGGAGGAAAAGCACTGGCTGAAGCATTATGCAAAAATGCCACCTTAATTATCTAGATTTAAGATTGAATAATCTTGGTGAATCACTGGATGAAGTGAAAATAAATCATTTAGTTTTACTCAAATAACAAGTTACTTAATACTGCTTTAAAAAAAGCAGTAGAAATAAACATTAACCATCTATTTTTATTGGTGAAGTTGAAACATCTTATGTTCCTTTGCTAAAAATTTACTCAACTATCGTCTATAATAAAATCACCAAAAAATTAACACGTATATGCTGAATTTAAAATAGAATTTAAATAGAAAATTATGTTTCAAAATCGCCCAAACTATGAGCGTTCTCAAGCCTCAACATCGTAAAAAATAAAGGTGATCTGCCGTAAAATATTTGTAAATTGAAATGATAAACTCACGCAAAGATTTTTACTAATAAAAATATATTAATTACATAATAAACTTTAAATATTCATTGCGTCAATTTATAAACACATTTGACCTTTAAATATTTTCCACTAAGTATAATTTTTTACCGACACTTTTTGTCCCATTGATTAGGGCGCTTGAGAACGCCCTAAGTCTGATAAGTTATAAACTCAAAGGCCAAAGTTGGATTTCCTTCGGCATCGTTCATATATTATTGAAGCAGAAAATTGTAATACTTTAATTGAACTAATAATCTAATAAGCTACATTTTTATCACATATATTCACTTTAACGCAACGATATATTATAATTTTACACTTAGTGGTCCTTAAGCATCTCATTCGACAAAAATGCATATCTTAAATGTGTGTCAGGTTTGTGGCGCAACATAAATTCTTTATTGACCCTAAGCACCAATTTTGTCACGGAGATTCTCAATTTTGATTGGCTAGCAGACGTGATCTACAAAAGTTTAGCCCCATTACATAAATATTTGACGAAATTAAATTTTTAACTTTTTCACTCAAAAAATGGAAACTTTTAAAGAATAGGCCCGCGCAATGGTAAAATTAGCCCAGAAATATTTTTCACTAATATGCAGCCGCGATTAACGGGGTAAAATCACCACCCTAAAAAATTTCATGCCCAATTTAGTCTACGAAACTGCCTGCTACGCAAGTTTTTCTCGTAAAATTTTGCTATAAAAAATATTTTTAGACACCAATCTAATGACAAAATCCTAACCATAACCTAAAAAAAATTTACTTAACCTTTTTTTCCTTGTTACTGTAATTTCATTAGTAAAATTTGGTGAATTTCACCCTAAATTTTTGGCACTCGAAAAATCTGTGCTAGGTTTTGTTGATCACTGTAATACAGTCAGACCACTCTAAATGCAACCTCTCTAAATGCATGATAATTTATGGCTCTACAATGGGCATTATAGATAAATGCAACCTTTTTATTCTCTAAATGCATGCTATTTTATCAGCCCACGCATAAGAATTCCCTCCATAAGCGCAGTCATATGATCATTCCCACAACAATAGCCAATCAAAATCCATTACTCTTAAAACAAAAACTGGATTTAAAATAACTTTATGTCACTTAATTATATTATATAACTGATTGAAAACACAACAAATATGTATTGGTATATATTAGGGTTCTGCAAGTGCTAGGCATAGTGTTATTAAAAAATAGTGTTTAGCTATACAGTTACTGTTTTAATAATACTATGCCTGGTATTTGCAGAACCCTAAATGCATACACCTATATAAAATTTTGAAGAATGTTAAAACATTATTATTAGTATGTAAAAGTTCTTCTTAACAAGTAATTAAAAAACATTATCATGATATCAGAACTGCAGAAAGAATTGTTAAACAAATTGTCTTAGAACTTATTATAAAAATGATCTAGAATTTAAATTATTTTTTTTTAAATTCTTCTGTATATGGTGTGGGCATTTGTTAAACACTAATAATTATTATTTTAAAACAGAAAAGGTTAAGTTATTTATTTTGTAACAAAACTAATAGCAAAAACAATAAAGAAATATTAAGCATTATTATTATATATATAACTATAAAATCATTAATTTAATATTATTAAAAGTGAATTTGACAAAAATTTTTCATAAAAATTTTGTAAATATGATTCTAATAGTTGGTCTTGAATTTGAAAATTTTGTTTTAGAATTAATTTAAATCCTTAAAATAAGAATTAATTTTTAATAAAAAGTTTAATTTGATGTAGACAGTAACAATTTAGAACTACTTGACTCATGCACAAGTAAACTTGAGATGGTTAGCAAGCATGTAAATGCACTTTATTATTACTAAATCAGATGACTTTATTAAAGACAATTAAAAACATATAAGAATACTGTTTGTTATCAATACAAGCTCAATTTGTTACAACTATATAAGTTTCTAAGACAATGCTACTGTTACAAGTTCACTATAACTTGCTTATATGTCTTTCCATCTTTATAACTACTTAATAATTCTAACATAAAGAAAGGTCATCAAGAAAACTACTAAGAAGATCTTTTATAGTTAAAAAGAATATTAGCTTCACAATATAATATAAGTGCTGCTTATTTTAATAAAAAGTTTTGTACTAAAATTTAGCTGTAAAGTCTATAACTTATTTAGCAAAATTTTATGCATTACTATAGTAGTTAGAGTTCAAAAAACATAACTTTGTATTACTATTGCAGTTATGAAGTCAGCTTTTAAAGTTTTTACATTGCTATTGCAGTCTTAAAGTTTAGTTATTACCAAAAACAAGAGTTTGCACTATTACTGCAATTGAGAATCCTAATTACTAAAGTGCTTGTACTGTTACTGCAGCCTTAGAGCTTAATTATACAAAAAACAAAATCCTTTCATTACTGTTGCAGTTACAGAGCTTAATAGATACAAAAGAACAAAGCAAAAACAAGTCTTTATATTACTACTGCAATCAAGATGTTTGATATTACTTATTAATATACTTTTTAACTATCAAGTAATTAATTTTCTATGAGTTACTGCTAATAATATACTATGTACTGTACTAATACTAAAATTTAAATACCAATTTATAAGCTCTGAAGTTTAGCTATAAAATTTACTAGTTCTATATATATTATACATACTATATTCTAAAAAAAATCTGAATATTATATAAACAGCATATTACTAGTCACTACCAAGTGGGTGAATAAAAAGAATAATAGAGATAGTTTTTTTACAAGGCAAGTGATGTAAAGAGAAAGATAAACTCTTACTAAAAACAGCAACCCTTAAATGCACTGCATTATATATTCTTTTTTTATTTTACTAAATTAAATTATAATTAAACTATATGAAATATCTTATAACTTTATTACATTTATTCAGCACAATACAATTATATATATTATAAACAACTAAAAAACTTGATTCAACAAGAATAATGCAACAACTATTATAGCTTATAAAAGGCTAAACCTACAATTCATGCAAGTGATCTATATAGTTATCTAATTTTATAATAATGAACATTTAGACATTTTATTAATAAGCTATTCATAAATTCATATTTATGTACATAATTAAAATATAAAACAAATCTTTAAAAAAACACTGATGACATATATACATACCAGTTTTAGAAATGCATATCTTATTACTTATAAAAAAAATAGTTCAAACATGAACTTGCAAACATCATATACTAGACAGTCTTACATTTTATATTTTATATTTAATAAGCATAATTGACTTTTTACACATTTTCTTAGTTTC